AACTTGAGTATTACTCGGACTACAAACTACTATTATCACCACTTAAAGGGTTGTTCACTCAAACAATGACTTATTTTTTTTTTATCTTTGGGTGCGCTGTTGCTTCAACGCCTGTGGTTAGAGTTAATGATTAGGAGTTTTTACCAAATGTCTAATGTCTAGACTTGTTTGTTGTTCTCTAGCTGCTATATTTAGTGTATTTGGTAGTCAAGTGTGTTATAGTGCTTGAAATGTCCTCGGGTCCGGATTCGAACTTGGGACGCCCTGAAGTGCTACTGCACCATATTTTGCTAATGCGCCGGCGTAAATGTCATTTTACCCGTTTCTTAAATTCATATATAGTACTACAGTTGTGTTTGTTGTTGTCTACATAAATGGCTCAGTTTTAGAGCACTGGATGATGTTTTTTAATATTATACTTTAATCCATTGGTGTTCAAAATATGGCTAGTTTCAAGTGTTATTTTTCATCATCAGATAAAGGACTGGAGGATTTGGTCATCTGTTGTGTATATGTGCATCACAGTGTGTGTTGGACATGCACACACAAACACACACACATATACACACACATGCACAAACACACAGGAACAGCACAGAGCAGGCTGGCGAACCCTGAGGCGCCTCTTTCATGTTTAACAGCCAGAGAGGCTGGTGAAAAAGTGGCTCACTGTTACACCTCCAGGTGCTGAAATTCATAGCTGTGAATTCAGGATGAATCTTATTAAAGGAGCTCTTTAGTTTGGTTGAAAATGTGGCTCATTTAGTTAAACTCTCATGTAGTTAAACAGTTGAATTTTATTATTCTATGGCACTTTTGGGAGCACTTTTAGCTTAGCTTAGCATTGGTAATTGAATCAAATTAGACTGTTAGCATCTCACTCAAAAATGAATCAAAGAGTTTTGATAAATTTCCTAATCAAAGATGACTCCTTTGTAATTGGTTACAATGTACACCGACATAAAATTAATGCACTTTGTAAGTCACGACGTAAAAATCCCTTCTGGGAGCAGTTTTAGCTTAGCTTAGCATAGATAATTGAATCAGATTAGATCGTTAGCATCTCACTCAAAAATGAACCAAGGAGTTTCAATAACTTTTCTATTCAAAGATGACTTCTGTAGTTACAATGTCCACCAACATTAAATTAAACTGCTATTTTCTAGGCTGATATGGCCTGTAAAAGTTTACATTTCAACAAGAGAAGTTAGTTTTAATAAACTTTCAGAAACTTTGTAACATACGCTCAAGCACAACACAACAGCTAAATGATTATATACTTCTGGAAACTTCTCCGTAACCTTCATGAATCCCATAATGATGAGTAAATCCCCAACATAATCCCAGTAGTCTGTCTTTCCGCCAGTGACATATGCACTCATCACGCCTTCATCCTCATCAGCTTTCCCTCATCAAGTCCTTACATATTGTTGCTTTACATATTGGATGCTTTTCTTGATGACAAACTCTGCTTGGCGGTAATTTTTGGGTCCTCTCGAAGATTTTGGCCGGCGTTACGGTGGCTTGCAATTAAGTGTGTCTGGCCCAAAAGCGAAGGCACTAAACAGCTGGCAGAAGCTCAATACTGACATCATGCAGTGCAGTTCTTCTCTCTCTTTTGTTGAACATCTCTATCTGTTGCCTCAGTAATTCGAGTCCAATTTGGCTCGTGCCGTTGTCTTTTCTTTGCTCACTGTTTAAACGGCAGCTGATGCAATCGGTTAACCAATCTCTTGTTTAGGATTGAATTACCTCAGAGATGCCGTTTAATGTGAGCGGATTAGTTAAGATATTTGAAAATGCCTGCAGGAAGTTGACCAAATCGATTATTGAACATTTTGTTTTTTGTTCTGCATCTGGTGTTCACAATAGTTTGAGCTGTTGTTGCAGGTAGTGTCCGAGTTATCATTTTTAGAAGAACTGCTGTCTTTAAAAAATGAATTGAGTTCATAAATTCTTTATAGATATTTGACTAATTTAATGAACATATACAGTTGTAGACTATCGGGAAAAAAATAACTAAAAGGGGCTAATAATTTTGACCTTAAAATGGTGTTTAAAAAATTTAAAACTGCTTTTATTCTAGCCGAAATAAAACAAATAAGACTTTCTCCAGAAGAAAAAATATTATCAGACATACTGTGAAAATTTCCTTGCTAAGTTAAACATAATTTGGGAAATATTTTTTAAAAATAAATAAATAAAGGGGGGCTAAAACTGTATGTATATATATATATATATATATATATATATATATATATATATATATATATATATATATATATATATATATATATATATATATATATATCCTATTAAGCAGTGTTTTCTAACCCTTTTCCTGGAGGCACACCAACAGTACATATTTTGGATGTGTCCCTTATCTGACCCATTAACTTCAGGTTTTGGAGTCTTCTGATGAGTTGATTCAGGTGTGTTTGATTAGAGAGAGGTTGAAAATGTGTACTGTTGGTGTGCCTTCAGGAACAGGGTTTGGAAACACTGCTATAGAGAACAGGAATGTGTCATTACTGTGCATTCTGGGTATTTAGAATAAGGATGGCTGATTCTTATTGATCTCTGTTGATTATTGTATTATACTCACCGGTCACTTTATTAGGTACACCTGTCTAACTGCTCGTTAAAGCAAATTTCTAATCAGCCTTAATGCATTTAGACATGTAGACATGATAAAGACGATCTGCTGCTGTTCAAACCGAGCATCGGAATAGGGAAGAAAGGTGATTTAAGTGACTTTGAATGTGGCATGGTTGTTTGTGCCAAACAAGCTGGTCTGAGTATTTCAGAAACTGCTGATCTACTGGTATTTTCACGCACAGCCATGTCTAGGGTTTACAGAGAATGGTCAGAAAAAGAGAAAATATCCAGTGAGCGGAAGATCTGTGGGCACAAATGCCTTGTTGCTGTCAGAGGAGAATGGCCAGACTGGTTGGAGCTGATAGAAAGGCAACAGTAACTCAAATAACTACTCATTACAACCGAGGTCTGCGGAAGAGCATCTCTGAACACACAACACGTTCCACCTCGAGGCAGATGGGCTACAGCAGCAGAAGACCACACCGGGTGCCACTCCTGTCAGCTAAGAACAGAAAACTAAGGATACATTTCACACAGGCTCACACAATGTTTGTCCCTTTATGACCACAGTGTACCCATCTTCAGATGGCTACTTCCAGCAGGATAACGCACCATGTCATAAAGCGTGAATCATCTCAGACTGGTTTCTTGAACATGACAATGAGTTCACTGAACTCAAACGGCCTCCACAGTCACCAGAGCTCAATCCAACAGAGTACTTTTAGGACGTGGTGGAACGGGAGATTCACTTCATGGATGTGCAGCTGACAAATCTACAGCAACTGCGTGATGCTATCATGTCAGTATGGACCAAAAATTTCTAAGCAATATTTCCAGTATCTGATTGAATAAAGTTGCCGGTGAATGTATATGCACCCATCAGCAATAAACTGTAAGTGCTTACACTACGGAAAAAGAAGAAAATGCAGTTACACTTCACTGCAGCAGGCAGAATGTTATGGAATGCATATTTTCAGCTTCTTAGACACACAAAGAGCATTTATAAAAGTATATAGACATTAGTCAGTTTTAGTCTGGGTGATTGTGAGATGTTTTTCAAAAGATATTACTAATAAATGGTCGTTCTCTTTCTGTTGTGATTTCCATTGGTTTACATGTGTGCTCTTGCGTTTGTCCACAAACAAGGCCGACCGCAACTTGCCGTGACGTAGATTCCCAAACTCTATAGAAAGTATTCATTTAAAGAGAGATCTGTGAGGGGTGTACTCATTTATGCTGAGCACTGTTTATGCACTTAAAACCAGATTTATCAGATTTAATAGTTTTAATAACTCATTTCTAATAACTGATTTACTTTATCCTTGCCGTGATGACAGTAAATAATAGTTCATTAGATATTTTTCTAGATACTTGTATTCAGCTTAAAGTGACGTTCAAGAGTTCACACTTAGCTGATGATTTACAAAGCTTATTTGGCATGCTGTCCCGGGAGAGAGCCCCGAGCTCAAGGGCTCCTCGAGCCCGGGGCTTCCTCCCGTTGGCAGAGCAAGAAGGGAGCCCGAGCTCGGTGGATCTCAGAACTCCCCTGCCGCTGTAGCTAAGGGAACATAAGGAATTAGACAAGCTTGATTGTTATGTATGTTGAATGTCTTTGGATGGTGGGAGGAAACCGGAGAACCCGGGGAAAACCCACGCGGACACGGGAAGGACATACAAACTCCCCACAGAAACACCCACCGGTCCTATAGAACTAGTACCAGCAGTATTCTTGCTGTGTGGTTCACAGTGCTAACCACTGGACCGCCGTGCCGCCCAATCGCAGGTAAAGGAGGAGAATAGGGGAGGAGGGGGGTTTCTTCCAAACGAAGATAAAGTGAACTGAAAACTGAGGCTATTTATGATGCCTTAGGGCTCATATGATTGGAAGATTAGTGATTAGCAAATACGAGACTGGACGTGATAAATCATAAGCACGTGATCCTCTCGAAATTAGTTTATGAATAAACTTCACTTAAAAGGCTTAACTAGGTTAATTAAGGTTAATTCGGCAAGTCATTGAATAACAGTGGTTTGTTTTGTGGACAAAGCTAATTCCTAGCCGGATACATTTCTAGCCGAAATAAAACAAATAAAAAAAAATTCCAGAAGAAAAAATATTATAGGAAATGCTGTGAAAAATTCATATTCCTCATTCAAACATCTTTAGTGAAATATTTGAAAAAGAAACTGACAGGAGGGCTTATCATTTAGACTTCAACTGTATGAAATTAAATGTTTTGAAAGTGTGCTCGATCTTAGTAAGCAGCCATTCAGCACTTGAGAAAAGTGTTTTCTGGCATCTGTGATTTGCAAGCTGTGGGCTTGACATCTGAACCTCCGCAGGTGTTGCTGCTCGTTCCTGCCAGTTTGACGATGTCTCCTCCGTGTGCTTCTGTCCTCAGATTCAAGTGTACGGCCTGGAGAGCGGCCAGTGTGAGCTGACCATGGGGAACTCGGCCGGAGACTTTACCTGCGTCAACCTGAGAGACAGCGGCCCTCACCTGCTGCTGTGCGGAAACAGAGACAGGCGGTACGACATGCTGCACACAAGCCCACCTCATCTATCATCATCACATTCACACACACATAGACACGCACACATATTTGTATACATGCTTCACAGGGACTTTCCATAGCCGTATTGTATTTTAAAGTGTAAAAACTGCTTATTATGTGGAGTTAATCTACCCCTAAAGTCGACTGTCAAAAGACCCCGTTAGCAATGGCTTAAACCTTTTAAAACTAGGTCAATTAAACAACTTTGTGTCCCTGTAAACCACATAAACCTGTACACACATATTTACACTCACACACGCACATACACAGACATTCACACATATGCATATTCGCATATTCACACACACACGCACACGTTATAAACACACATTCATACGTACTTCACACACACACATGCAGTCACACACATGCACACACAGACATTCACTCTCACATACATCAATGCACACACACACACCCACACACACAAACAAACACACATTTACACACACACACGCGCACATTCACAAACACGCACTCATTCTCATACACACAAAAGCACACTTACGCACACACAAACTCGCACATTCACAAACACACATTTACACTCACAAACACGCACTCATTTACACACACAAACACACACTCATTCACACACACAAACACACATTTACACACACACACACACACATTTACACACACAAACACACACACACAAACAAACACACATTTACACACACACACACACACATTTACACACACACATTCACACACACAAACACGCACTCATTTACACCCACAAACACACACTCATTCACACACACAAACACACATTTACACACACACATTTACACACACAAACACACACACATAAACAAACACACATTTACACACACACACACACACACACATTTACACACACAAACACTCACTCATTCACATACACAAACACACATTCACACACACACACACACACACACAAACACGCACTCATTCACACACACATTCACACACACACACACATGCACACACACACACATTCATACACACAAAGTCGCACATTCACACACAAAAACACATGCAGTCACACACATGTACACACAGACATTCAATCTCACATACATTCACACAGACCCACACAAACACATTCACACACAGATTCATACACACACAAACTCGCACATTAGCACATTCACACACAAACATGCACATTCACACACAGACACACATGCACACACACACACACACACACACACACACACACACACACACACACACACATAATTGTAGTCTGGCACATGACTGTGACTGGAGTGTCCTAAACACGGGGAGTTTGATGAGTTGTGATGGAAGAGAGACTCTCTCATTTACACCTGCAGCTGCTGCACATTCTGCTTTTCAGCTTGCATCACACATTTCCCTGAAGGAACTTCTTTTATTCCAGGTTTGGGGGAAGTTGTTTGCATTGAATATTATAGTTTTGGATTATGTAATATATGGCTGTATGCTAAAGTTTTAGCAAGAATGATAAAGTTTGCAGATTTCTAAAATTCCAAAATATGGAATGAGGAAAATCTGCCATGAAAATCAAGATCAGTGTCGCTATAGATTAATGCGTCGAGTTGTATAACAGTTTTCCCAACTGCTTACACACAGATTCAAAACAGTGTCCCCTTTTTTCAAAACTCTACACTCAATTCCTAAAACTGCACACACAAAATGCAGAATGCCTCACATCTCCTTCAAAATGTAACACTGCATTTACAGTTTTACCCTAAACCTCAAATCTAAAAGCACGCCTCATATTGTCAGAACTCTACACACAAATCAAAAAACACACATTGGGCAAAACTCTTCAATTCTCCTGCAAAATGAAACTTTACATTCAAAACAAAGTTTTTTTCCTCTGAAAATGGTATTTTGTTTTCAAATAACACTATGACCTGTTCTTCTCCATTCATCATGATGACTTACTGTAAGCCATTTTTTGTTCAGTGTTGCACTACAGACAGTACATAGGCCTGCATGAGTGCATTGTAAAATATTTCAGAATATTGTTTTATACAAAACACACAAATACACAGTACCAAATATATTTGATGACCAACTAAACTTCTCTGACCACATTTCTAGAACTGCTCGATCGTGCTGATTCGCATTCCATAACATCAGAAAGGTCCGATTCTTTTTATCTGAACATGCAGCTCAACTTCTTGTTCAAGCTCTTGTTCTCTCCAGACTGGAATATTGCAACTCTCTACTAGCCGGGCTTCTAGCTAACTCTATCAAACCTTTTCAGATGCTTCAGAATGCAGCAGCACGAGTGGTCTTTAATGAACCTAAAAGAGCACATGTCACTCCGCTACTCATCCGTTTGCACTGGCTGCCAGTTGCTGCTCGCATCAAATTCAAAGCTCTGATGTTTGCTTACAAAGCGACTTCTGGCTTTGCTCCTTTTTATCTGCTCTCACTTCTGCGGATTTTTGTGCCCTTCTGAAACGTTCTGTGAATGAACGTCGCCTCGTGGTTCCATCCCAAAGAGGAAAGAAATCACTTTCCCGAACTCTCTCATTTAATCTGCCCAGTTGGTGGAATGAACTCCCTAACTGCATCAGAACGGCAGAGTCACTCGCTGTCTTCAAGAAACGACTAAAAACTCAACTAATTAAGTCTCCACTTTCCTTACTAATCTGCAATTGCCTCTCTGGCTATACCACTATATCACCTTTGACCTATTTATAGACCTGCTCTACAGTAAAGCAGTGTTTGGTTAGTGTGATCAGTAGACCCACAAGGAATCTGCGCGTGCAGAATTTTGCAGATTTCCACAGATTTTTAGCCCATCTTTGATTCTGTTTATTTACTTGTGTATATTTATATTTATATTTATTTAGTTTTAAAATCAATTTCAATATAATTGTTGACCAATATGAAATATTCATATGATTTATTTACAAAACAGCTTGTAAAGTAATATTTCCTGTCTTTTAGTATATATTACATGAGAGACTCGCTTTGTTTACCAAACAAAGTGGATCTAATTAGATTTGCATTGTAAACATTAAATAAAAGTTAAAAAGGTGTTATTTTTTATTTCACATATTACATTTTTAGTTATGATACTGCCAAAATCATTCAGCAGAAATCTGCATATTTTTATCTAAATTCTCTGCAGAAATAGCAAAAAAAAAATGTCTGCAGATTCTGTCTGGCCCTAGTGATCAGTTAAAAAATTTATGTTTCCACATTTGAGCAGTGTGTGTGTGTATGTGTATGTGTTTGTGTGTGTGTGTGTGCGTTTGTGCGTGTCCTTGTTTGTCCGTGTATGTCCGTGTTTGGCTGTGTGTCCGGATGAATAAGTGTGGCATTTTGATTGGTTGTGTTTGGAAAAGGAAAGCAAGTAGCTTCCTGTTAGATGTTTGTGTTTTAGGAAGAGAATTGTGTGTAGTGTTTTGAAAAAAAGTGTTTTATGCAATTGAAAACAGAGTTCAAGGATAAGAAATAGCTTCTGTTTATTTAGATTTGAGGTTTAGTTTTGCATTTTGAGTGAGTGGTTTCAGAAATTGTGACATGAAAAGATTTTGTAAGCAGTTGGAAAAAACTGTAAATAGGAATCTAAAGTTGTATTCATTTGTTTAAAGGTCAGGGCTTTTGCTAAAGCACCACATGAAGTTATTTTCCAATTATTGTTTATTTTCTTCTGAACCTTTCATAGCAGTAGTCAGGTAAAGAAATCTCCTGTACTTCATTCCCACCCTTCTAAAGGGTATTGCAGTGAAAACCAGTTGTGAAAACAAGAAGAGACTCTTTACTTGTGCTTTCTTACAATCAGTATTTGCTAAATATACAGTAAGTTCAAATGTCGCCAATCTGTGTTACTGGTTGAAACCTAAAGTGGCGATGAGGTCTTAAAATATATAGAAAGAGTCTTAAAAAAGGTCTGAAAGGGTATTGAAATTGACTCTGATTCATGTACACTCAAAAACTACCTTTGCTGCTTGTTCAAACTACTTATTTAAAATAAGCTGAAACAACACAATTCTTAAGTGTTTTTTTAACTTAACTTAATTGTTCTATGTCAAGTCAAGTCAAGTTTTATTTGTCACATACATAGTTATACAAAGTATGACCAGCAGTGAAATGTAGGTCAGGTCCGCTCCAGAGATAGTGCAAGTATAGATAAACAAAAAATTAAATATTAAGGAAAAAGAAGAAAAAGAAAAAACGTGCAAAAAAAAGATGTGCAAAAAATTATACAAGGTAATAAGAATAGCAGCAATATGATGTACTTATGAATATGACTACTACAATGATACATACGAAAAAATCACGTAATGTGTAACACCGGGTTAGAATTTAGTAGCCTGATGGCCTGGGGAAAGAAACTCCTCCTAAGTCTCTCAGTTTTTGCCATCAAGCTACGAAATCATTTTCTAGATGGAAGCAAAGTGAATAGATAATTGTCAGGATGGTTTAATGTTCAATCCACTTGAATTTTTAAGAACGATCAACAAATAACTTCTAGAACAGTCATGTCAAACTCAATTCCTGGAGGGCTGCAGCCCTGCACTGTTTAGTTCCAAACCTGCTCCAACACACTTACCTGTAGGTTTAAACAAGCCTGAAGGTTTCACTTAGTTTGATCAGGTGTGTTTAATTAGGGTTGGAGCTAAACTGTGCAGAGCTGCGGATACTGCAGAAGACCTATTGGAACCCGTATGCATCCAAGATTTTCAGAGAAATCAGCCCAGTTTGGTGAAGAAAAAAATCATGGTTTAGGGTTACATTCAGTATGGGGGCGTGCGAGAGATCTGCAGAGTGGATATAACATCAACAGCCTGAGGTATCAAGACATTTGCGCTGCCCATTACAATACAAACCACAGGAGAGGGTACATTTTTTAGCAGGATAGCGCTCCTTCTCATACTTCAGCCTCCACATTAAACATCCTGAAAGCAAAGAAGGTCAAGGTACTCCAGGATTGGCCAGCCCAGTCACCAGACATGAACATTATTGAGCATATCTGAGGTAAGA